TACGTAACATAGTGTTATTTAGCAAAACAATATTATATGTTGAATTGTTCGCTTGTACATCTTATTAAATCGTTGCAGAAAGGATTCGCTAAATGTAACTGTTACTTTAAAATTACTTATGTACGTGAACGTTAAGTCAACACTGGACCAAAAATCTCCCCACCACCAATTTACGCCGTCTGGCAAGGTACTTCCTTGACAAAATCACTCGAATACAAGTATTAACTGGTCAACGCCCAGACACAACCATGCCGGTTACAAAGTAGTTCGTCATAAGCCATATCCGCCGCCAATCCGTCTACATACTATAAAACCACACATTACGAAAGACAGGTTGGGAGCTTAGAGCTAGTCTCGGCCGGGGCCGCGCTGGTGGGTGATACCTGGTTCAGGAAAACCCCGGTAGCTGACAGGTTCATTGGCACCGGATCTCACCATCCAGCCACCTCCCAAAGAAAAAAAATCAAGCACTACATATTCGGGACTAATGACCTTAGAAGTTAACGCGCCCGGAATCGCTAATCAATTAACAAACATGACGCGTCGTAAGACTATTCACTGCGTGTCACTCCTCCACTTCATTACTTTGATGCGTCATCATTTCACGTCCTCACCTCACAGTACTATGAAAACAGGTTATTCTCCAATGAAGCGATAACCGCGCCACTATTACACCGTCACATGCTTGCTCAACAAGCCGACTCCCCCACCACGTGATTCCCCAGTGTCAGGATTAATTTTCCAGTTTAACCTATTTTATGGTTACATTATTTTATGAGAGAGCGTAGGCTTCCGCGGCCGGAGTCAATATTTAATTGGTAGTCCGGGTGCCGCCACGTCCATGGCAAAGGTACCGACCTCTCGGTCGCTACTCTGCGACCTTCCTCGCATTACGCCCTGAGGAAGGTCTCAGAATGGCGACCAAAACGTCGGTATATTTGACATGGACGCGACTTCACCCGGACAGCCAATTAAATACATTATTTTATGTTCAATGTTTACCCCTTTTCATAGTTCCCTCGTAATGATTTTTAAGTCCCAACACAACTCCAAGCCTCATTTCCTTAACTGCTGATACTCCTCACCTACTCTCCTCACCTCCTTAACCTCTGCCCTCAACCGCCCCGAGCGCTGGAGTCGGGCCTAGGCTCGAAGGCGTAGGCTCTGCCGGCGCTTCGCCCGGCTCCGGGGCGGGCTTTGTGTGGTTGATTGATTGCGCAGCACGAGCCTGTGGGGGCGGGGCATCTGGGACCGTTTGCGCGGCGGGAGGGCAAAGCCAGGCTGAGGAGGCAGCGAAGGTGCAAGGAATCCGATGAAAATATTCGACTGCGAGGAAACGAAACGAAACGAATTAGCGGGTTCTTCAGAGGGTACCGCGTTCTCCCAGTTTTGCCGGTATCTTTGTAGATAAAGTGGAATGCTTGAAAAGAGGAAGAAGGACATGTCCCTCTTTCTCTAAGGCCCCATTCCCCGACTCTGTAGGGGCAGTTAAGTTCTTAGCTACGTCTCGGGGGAAGAGTCTGGCGCACACTGTTTAATGCAACCAAAAGGGGTAAAATTATAATTGTATTAAATTACCACACGCTACTGTGATATCTCTATTCTTTTCAAGGTGTTCGATTTGCCTAGAAGTAGCCGTTTTTTACTTTGGTAAATTCCTACAAATTACTGGTATTAATGTCTTGAAATGAAAATGAAATTTTATTGTGTAATGTAATTTAGATTGATTACACGGTATAATTTATTAACAATATTTTCTTTGCAACAAATAATAATAGTCAGCCTTAACCAGCTAATATAATTTTTTAATACATTTTCAATTTGTCAAAACGAAATGTTCAATCGTTTCCTTGCTTTTGTAATTGATATCACAAAATTAAAATGTATTGCTCATTAAGTTCATATTTCACTCTGTTCATTGACAATATTTTTGCTCCAAACATATCTTTAGTTCATCAGAAATACTTCGTTTCATATTCACTACAGACATGCATGTTAAGTTTATTAGAAGTATTTTAGTTAAAAAATACATGAACCAGCTTCCTTCCATTCATGGCTTTCATTCCGACAATCTTCGCCATACATTTAATCAATTAAGTTACGTTGTCGATGATTATTGAAAAACAAATGTTCCTTCGGTATTCAAACAATCTAAACAGTTCCCCAGTGAGGAACTACTACTAAAAGAAGCAAAAAAATCTCCTCCATTTAATAAAATTAAACACGAACGCTAGGACCCGGTTCAATTCACGGCCAATACATGTACAATTTGTATGTAAAGCGAGCTCTCGGTGTCGGGAGAGGTTTCTCAGAGCATCAATTCATGTCAATACTGGGCCTGCGACCGGGAGGCCCAAGGCGGCAGGATTTTGGATACTAGCTACATAGCTAGGTCGAATTCAGCCGCTCTCTGGAGAATTCAAACATCCGACTGCTCTGATCAGCAGTTTCTCCGATCAACACCAGGCGAATGCCGGAGCAGTACCCTAACAAACGGGTCTCGGACGATCTTTCTTTCCTCTTCCTTGTTCTAACACCATCCTTCACTTACATACCAGAAGTACTTACTACAAAACACACACACTCCAGGAGATCGGTCGGGAGCTTAGAGCTGGTCGCGGGGTGGTGACTTGCTTGTGGAAGATACCTGGTTGAGGGAAATCTTCTTAGCCGACGGTAGGTCGACGCAGGATCTCACCATCCTGTGGGGAAGATCAATGCCACCCCTTGAGGAAACTGCAAGTACTACACGTACGAAACTTATAACCTTAGCACTTGACGCGCCCAGAATCACTAATCAGTCAATTAAAAAAAAGCGAGCTCTCGGTAGATTTTCCTTCTCCAACTATTATCTTGATAAACATTAATTACCTCAGCTGTTGAAAGGCTTCTAATCTTCAACAGATACATAAATGTACAAATAAATTCAACAATTAAATGTAATAAATAATAAAATAAGACTAAATAAACTAATATAAATACGTTAAGTACATAAATTAATATTGAATTAAATATATAAAAATAAATAAATAAATTAAATACTTATCTAAGAGACAAATATAGTTGTAGATGTAAAGGTTGAAGAATGTTGTGCAAAGAATCGAAGAGAAAATTGTATAAGAGATGTGTGTCAGGTTCGTGGGGAGAAAATGTCTTCGAGGATGAAAGGCCCGTTACAACTTTCTGCACCAAAGAAAATGGATTTCTTCAAACAAAAGGGTGACTGTTGTAAATTTTCACCAAAAAAGTGGCAAGTAACGATATATTCTCTTTAAGGAAGATAATCTGCTTTATGAAGTGATTACAAAATTGTCACTGAAATGGTATGGATAACAAAATCCTGAAGAATGCCGTTAATCTACACGTACCTGTTGGAACTCGGTATCCACTAAAAATGTTCGTGGACAGTTTAAAATGATTGTTACCACCACATACCCACAGAGAACTGACGAGGCGGAGATGGCGAAAAGGCTGAGTGCGGAGAAGGCGTTGTGGGCGAGCGGAGGAAGGTTCGACCTCCGACCTTTCGGGGCAGATTACTCTGGCGGCGCCAGGCGCCTCGGGACTTGCCTCGGGCCCTGGGGGCTTCCATAAAACAAACGGCCAGCACGCTCCTCTCCGCCCCTCTCTCCCTCTTTCTTTCACTCTCTACCCCTCTCCTCGCTTTCTCTTGCCCTCTATTCCTCTCACTCCCTCTCTTTTCTCCTCTCTCTATTACTTCCCCTTGTTCTCTGTCTCATTTACGCTCTTTTTTCTTATTATTTTTCTCTCGCTCACTCTCTTTTTCTTTCACTCTCATTTTCTCTTTCACTCTTTCTCTTTCGCCCTCATTTTTTCTCTGTCACTCTTTCGCTCTCTTTCTGTTTTTCTTTCATTGTCATCTTTTCCGTGTCTTCTCCACACGTTAACGTCGAAAAAAATGGATGAGTCCTGTGAAATATCAATTTGTAGGACTATAATTATGACGGCCATTGAATCCCAAATATTTAAATTATTGAGTGCAAACATTGTAATAGTTATATGAGCGTGTAACAGGGAAGGGCATATTAAATATTATTCGGGGAGGGAAATCATTTTTTTTACAAGAAAAGATATTAATTTTAAACAAACTCCTCATTGTGCTTGAGCATTATCCTCTATTTAATATCACCTTCATTATTTCTACCAGATATACTGGATGTTCTACTATACTGGATTTCTACCAGATATATTACTATACTGGATTGGTCAGTTCCATTATTCTCCAAAAGATAACAAATGGACAATTCAATGCATCGATTACCTATTCCTTTCTTGATATATTTTTATATTCTATATGCCAATTTTCAGATTTTACTCTGCAACTGTATTGCCTTCTTGGGTTTTCTTTTGTCTCCTTTTTCACTTTAACTTTACGTTGGCCAGCGCAGCAAGGCCTGTCTTTCACTACCAGACTTTCTATCTGAGGAGGTCGCAGTGGTGGAACCGGCGAGAGGTGAACAAAGTACGCCCGAGCCCCAAGGGGATTTATCCTTATTCTGCATTTTACTAAGTGCGCAGAGAACAATGTATTCTGCGAGGTAAGACGTCTCCTCCCGCTTCGTGTGTTAACCCAGGCGAACAAGCCGTTTCCCTCTCCTCCATCTCCAGCTCGCGGGCTCTTGCGGTGCTTCTTCTCAGGAAGGAGAGACAGACGAAGACCAGACTCCGCGTATGTTCCTCCGAGCCCCCTTGCCTTCTCTAGTCACTATAATACGAGTACATTATTGTATTTTCTTTCAGGCGGTTGCACTATTCAAGTGCTATGTACTCTGTGCTATGTAGGGTCTTCATCACAGCCGGTCTTTCCCCCAACGATATCTTCCTGATTACATGAATTAGAGTGGTCGGTATGTTGGCGATGTTGAATTTGCTTTGATTTCCCCCTCTCGATATTTTTTTAATGGGGAATGTGAGGGGTACTACGAACACTTGAAGATATTTCGAGTACTTTTTGTTTTAGTTTTTGTTTTGTTTTGCAGAAGAAAAGATGGCGTTACGGTGTGGTTGTAACATGATATGTCGGTGAAGAATTTTAGAATATCACAAAAAGTTTAACTTTAAAAATTACTCACCCAGCAATAATATTTTAATAATTCTATCAAAAACTATATAATTTTGAATCTAAAGCTTGTGGTGCATTAAATTAGTCATTTCTGTTCTATTAATAAATATAAATATCTTGAGGTACCTTTTTCTCTGAGATTTTTTGTTGATCTTTGAGATGAAATAGATGGGAAGTAAATTGTGCAAATTAAGCAGCAGATCCTTTTCTGTTAATTTCAATTTTTATTTGAATTATTTTCCTCTCAATAAAAATGGCTATAACAACATTTAGTTTAGATAGTTGAGTATAGTACTGAATATAGTTAACATTATACTAATAATGTTTTACTAAAACAATTAATTATGATATCTATGAATAAAATAAGCTAATAGTTTGAAAGAATACTCGTTTAAAAGAATGACGTGTATTTTTAAGAGAATATCCTGACAGTTAGTTGTACGATCTTCCGCTACTGAACTGTCAAACGATACGGCTTGTGCGCTTTCACGGTTTTGGAATATAATTTTAATTGTCCCGGAATGGTCATAATTAGTGAGGTTCAATATTGGTAAGCGTTTTGATTATCAGGAGTGTACATGTTAATGACTAGAGAATTATACTAATACGCTCAATTGCAGATTTTCACGGCAACTTGATTCAGCTGATTTAGTTTAGATTTTACCGAGCAATGTAATGCAAGAACCGAAATAATGCCGAATGAATTTCAAAACTTATCTCAAAAGAAAGTAAAATATTAATCTACTTCTTTTCATTGGCCTGCGAACTTTGGATTTATAATCTGTATCATAAATGAATAATAATGATGATATTGATAATAATAATAATAATAATAATAATAATAATAATGAGTTGGTTCTTATTTTTCCTTTAATTCAAATTCACTAATAAGAAAAAACAAATATCCATTTATTTGTTTTAGGGCCGGTGATTGTACGCCGTACACTATAGACTTGAATAAAGGTAACTTACCGTTTGATTAATTTTAAAAAATTTTCTAACCTCAAATCAAAACAAAACATTTATTCACAATATTAAACAGTAAAGATGTAAAAGTAAAGAAAGGAACTTTGGACAATTAACAACTAGAAAGAAACAAAACAAATAAATCTAATTTTATCAGTTATCTGAATATATTTACAGTTCGTTCACGTCTCCGAATATATACCACCTTGCTCATATATATTAATCATCAAAACATAATTTGTCCTCCGGGATCTTCAGTTTTCGCCAACGCATATATCCTCTGTCAACAATTGAAACAATCAGCACTTCTTTGTGTTTGAACATATTTTACGCCATTTCATAAAGTTTTTCGGTCGTCTACTAGACTACGAACCATTCTCCGTTCAGTGAACGGCCACTTTCAAACTGCTTGTTGATTTTGATTTTCCGGCGTATATTCTCCGTCACCTTGGTGTTCGACCTTGCCAACTTATAACTCCACTACAAGCTGATGATGCATCCGTAACATCTTGACAAGTTACAAATAATAATAAGAAAGAATTGACATATGTCCGTCGTATTATGAAATATGAATTGATTTTTCATGTACATACGCATTTAATCACTAAATTCAACACTGGGGGGATTTAAAAAAATACATTCACGTTTACATACGAGAAAAACGCTTGAAGACTGTTATGGGAACAGCTCGAAACAAGAATGAAATGGAGGTTTTATGCTTTGTAAAGTTCGCATGTGATGAACCGGTTTGCCAGGAAATTCAGAATATATCAGAGGCACCAACGGTATATCGGTAGAAGCGACGATATTAACAAAAGTCAGCCAAAAAGTAAAAGTACAGGTGTGAGGAAATTGTAATTTGTCAATAAAACGTGGGAAAATAAGAACAGTTTGCCAGCAATAATTTTCAAAAGTATTCACCTCAATGCCTGTCGTCTTCGAAAGGTGTTGGAATCTTGTAGTTTAGTATCATTAGATTTCGAAACATTTATATTCTTACACATTGTAAACAACTTAGTGTCGTGCCATCCAACAAAGTGTGAAGGGATCCAAAAGGTACTGAAACGTAAAGCAGTGCGGTGTGGTTCAGTTCAGTCCAGTGGAGAGCAATGGAATACAGTACTGTGCATCCCCGTGCGGTGTAATGCTGTTCTGTGCAATAATAATTTACTATTATTATTATTATTATTATTATTATTATTATTATTATTATTATTATTATTATTATTGTTTTGGCCATTTCTGACCTGGCTAACAGGTTACTATGACGATAAGCCTTTCAGCTGTATTTTCTGGTAAGACAAGGTTGTTACGCCTTGAAGTGTGAATTATGAGGTGATGGGATGATGATGATGAGGGGTAAAGGGACAATCACAAATACCACCGTGCCTACGCAGGACTCAAACCCACATCTTCCTCGACGCAGCTTCTTCTTCTTCTTCTTCTTCTTCTTCTTCTTCTTCTTCTTCTTATTATTATTATTATTATTATTATTATTATTATTATTGTTATTATTATTGTTATTATTGTTATTATTGTTATTATTGTTATTATTATTATTGTTATTATTATTTATTACTACTGATAAGTATATTCGAGTTGGAGTGGCAGGTTATAAGCCTGTCCTCCAAACCACACGCAAAGCTACTAAGTGTGTTGGGGGTATCAACGTAGATTGCAATGTCCAGGTGCTCTCCTGCTTCTCGAATGCCGCCTGACGCGAAACGCGGTCGTCTGTGGAGAGCTTAGCTCAGCGCAAGGCTTCTGAGAAGGGCCCTCGAGTGATCCGCCGGGCGGAATAGGAAGCCGGTCGTTGCGAGCAGCCACGCCCAAGCGCTGATGGCGGCGGCGGCGGCGCTGGTGCTGGCGCTGGCGTCGGATATGAATGTTATCCGGTGTATCGGGGCGCGTGCCGGCCGGGCAACGGGGGCGGCGGCGGCGGCGGCTGGCGCACAATGGGCCGAAATGAGCCACAGTCCCGCACACGGCCTCGGAAAAATTAATAAGTATTAATTTTAGCAATATCGCAGCAGTACTTGGTTGTTACTGTGGTCTATCCGAGGTTTTATTACAACTTCAATACTTTGCGGCAAAGGAACATAACCCTGTGTTACGAAATCAAGATGTGTGTATTCTTTATTTATACATAGGCATACTTTCTCGGATTTCCCGATCTCTGTTAAATGCCGTACGTAGATAGCTAAGTGAGCTACCACGGTCTCGACCAGCACGGAGCTACTCAGTGAGGAGTACACACCATTTTCGCGATTTAACGCCGAAGTGGCCCTTGGGTCCACATCGGTCCCTTACAGATGTTTTAGTGAGGTAACCCACGGAATACATTTTGGTGCTTGGATTGGGATTAGTGAGAAATATCCTCTGTGCGCATCAGTTGTACATTTCACAAAAGTTACTGGTAACATCGTGGGACTAAGAAAGTATTAGAGGAGATGTTAGTTGAGGAACTTGGCATGCATTCAAGCTACTGACACAAATGAGAACATTCATATTCGTAGGATTCGAAACTATCTTCTTGATCTTTGCAAACTTTGGCACACCTGTTCTAAACCTCTTCTCCACTAGACCTGCAATTTTCAGTGTTTAAAATAATATATTTTCATCTTTTTTTTACAAGAATTTATTATGTACAAACGCGTAATATACTACGCAGTTACAATTCAAGATTTTTTATAATCTAAGAATTATTAATTTTATTTTTCTTGAAACGATCTAGGGTTTTAAGGTGTGAAAAACACCGACACGCATGCCGATGTTTTTATGGCTTGTTTCGAGCTTCGGTGTAGGCAGATGTTGATTTCACTACCAGAAGCAGCGGTCAAGGACTCATGGCCTGTTCTGTCAGTTTTGTTTGTCTGACTGTCCTCGTTCACCACTAGTGTTGGTTCGATGTGTTCTGTTATTGGTACATAATTTGTTGATCCCATTGCAATCTTCTTAGACTGGCGGCGTAGCTCATTGGTCAGCGTGCTCGATTTGCATGACGCGACACCGGTTTCGATTTCCGGTGGGGCAAAATTATAGTTTATGTTTTCCTTGCAATGTCCCATTGTACATTGCGGTGTGACGATGAGAAAATTCACTTCTCAGGTTGAGAAGACCGGGATACGACATGGGGATGTTTTCCTGCTAACCACGTCTTGACACATGGGGCGGGACGCCGCTGGTAGGCCATGGCCCGTACACAGGCCGACGCGCCAGGTACAAACAAATTACAACATTCGACAGCGTTAAGTACTATCCATGAAGCAGCATTTGGTCCAAAATCCTCGAACTCGCAATAGCGCTAGAATGAATTATGGATATAAAAGACTTTTGCGAAGCCCAGAGTTGTAAGGATAGACTTGAAGAGGAGGCGATTTAAAGGTTATGGCGTCTTCGAAAAAATTGCAACCTAACAAAAATTTTAATAACTCTGAAAAGTATAGAGCGATTAGTTGCCTCCCCACATTGCCCAAATCGTGAGATAAAATTCCACCCTTACAGGATTTAAACAGGCCATCCCTCGCCATCGATTCGGTTTCATCTCCATCTCTAGCTCTCATCAACTCATAAGGGTCAATTAATTTTTTCATGAAGCTTTACAGAAAGAAGACCATACAATCATCACGTGTTTAGATCTTGTCCAGGCCTTCGACAAAGTCTTGCATATCGGCCCCATACACAAGATAAAAACAATAGTCACCCCAGTTTACCTATACAACACAATAACATTTTCTAACGTAAAGTTTTCTAACATAACTTTTGTTCTTGCTGTTGATGATCAACAACAAACGAAAGTCCAGAAATACACTAGAAGGTCTCCTCAAGAATCTCCATTATTACTCACTCTCTTTAACCTACACGTTGCTGATATCCTATTAGCATTCAACACCAACATTGGTCAATTCGCTGACGATACCATTATATAAGAGTTATTCAACCAATTTAATAATGAACAGGTTAAAAAATCTATATAAAATAGATGACAAATCCATAAAATGTAAACTTTGGCTTTATGCTTCAATTGAAATGGGAAACTATTAATTCTTAGACCAATATTTATTCCTCCCCCTCCAAATTAGTAACTCATTAATCCCTTGAAGCTCACCCCATCTTAGTAACAAATATTTAGAACCAAATCATGATACAGAATTACAATGGAAAGGCCATATAAAGGCTGAAGCACACTACGTTAAAGATGCTCCAACTAACACGACTAATGAATTTCAAAATTTCTCTATACAATTCAATAGCTCTTTACAAACATGTCATCCAACCGATTATAATTTACACGTGCCATATCCTGTTAAATGCTTTGAGAAGCAACAAACAAAATTCAAATAATCCAAAATACGTTTTTCAGAACAATATACTTCAAAGACCCCACGGTTCAATTCGAATTTACAGTTGCATAAAGAATTAAATATCCCATACATTATACCATTTATATCCAAGATTTATCTCCAAAATTATTTACATGCATCAAGCAAATGGAGGTGGGAGAGGCAACATAACAATGATAGAGGATGCGCGGAAGTGAAATTTGAGCAGACGAAAAGAAAAGGTTACCGATTCTTTACTTGAATTCCTCACGACACTAGTAGAGCGACTCGCTGTCAGGCTCGTGAAAGCAGGTAGTTTGTGGCTAGACGCAGTTTTAAGTTCGTACACGTAAGCTTCCTCGGCTCGAGTTCGTGACTTCTCTGTCGGGGTGACGTCGCGACGTCGTCAGTTAAAGACGCGGCGTCACCCGAACAGCTAAGAAGTCTCTTTTCAGTTCATTAGCTTTGCCAAGCCTCGCGATGCTATAAAGCATCATGGCCGTTCAAAGAGCGTTGTGCGTCTCTACGGGAAATTTAACGAATAGTGAACAATCTCGAGTTGAAGGAGGTGCGCTGAGTGAAGGGGGCTGAGGAACTACACTGGCCGGCAATAGACTTTGTCAGTACCCACAAAAGTGAACAGTGTCTTCAGAATTGGCACAGCGAACTTGAAGATGAGGAGATCGGCTTAGGTGGCTCTTAGCAACAACTGATGCCACTACACTGCCTCTGACCGAGTGGATATAGGGGTTTGTGTCCCGGCTGTGGCAGGATTTTCGACACTAGATGGATAACAAGATCGAATTCAGCTACTGTCTGGAGGACAATTATACCGGCCAGTTGCTCCTATCGGTAGTTTTCAGTAATTTCTCCGATCATCACCGGGTGAAAGCTGGAGCAGTACCCTAACAAACGCCCTTGTATCGTGAACAACCTTCCCTTTCTCTTCATTGTGCTATCGTCACCCCTTACTTACACACACACACACACACTTGCATGCCACTACACTACCACTTATGTCGAGTGCTCAGTTGGAAGCATCCAGTTTACCCCATCTGGGCCGGTACCACGCTGGTGGGAGATAACTGTTTGGGAAAATTCTGCAATCCGAAGGGAAGATCTTCGCCGGACCTCTCCAACAAGGAGGGAAAGATGACCGCCTCCCAGAATAAAAAGCATGCAGTGTACTATTGGGACTTGAAGGCCATAGCAGTTGACGCGTCCGGAAACACAAAATAATATATCAGTCAGTCAATAAGGCCAATTGTGTATTTTTAATTTGTAGCATCAACTTAGACGCAACGCGTTTAAATCCCTTGGGAAACATTGAGGAGCTTTTGCGCTTTTGGAGTAATCCTCAATTAAACAGATAGTCCGTCACATCTCGTCTCAGTCAGTGGTCAAGAGGACCGCCAGATAGGATCTCTTCGTACGTCTCTCTCTCTCTTACACGCTCCTGCGTCACTACCCAGCGGCGATAATTGCGAAGAAATAAGGATAGTAGTAAGGTTTAGGACGCTTCACAGGAGTTGGACTAGCCCCTGTGAATCACGCAAACTCGTTTTGTTTAAACAAATTTCACATGAGGTTCTACGGGGATTCTACGGAAATCGAGCTCGGAACGTCACTGGTGAAAAGCAAGCGACTTCACCATTGCGTCACGAGAGCATTTAGCAATTTTAAACTTGCTTTCTCTTCCTTTTATACACATTTATTTTACTCAATTTATTATATTCTTTCTTTGTTTTTTGTACCAAACTTCATGTAGTGCATTTATGATATTTTAGCTTTATTTTAACATGACTTCGCGAAGTGTTTTAACGTTAGAAATTCATAATTACCCAATTACACCACGCGCCCATTTGTCGCCATTCCGTCCTACTGTGCGTGTGGTGCCGGGCGGCGGGACCGCCACTCCGATGCATATGTATAGGAGCGCTATCTGGCTCCGGATGAATAATACATCTGGGCGGCGCGCGCTACAGATTAGCGACTCCGGCCGCCCCGATCCATCACGCGCGCGGCGGCGGCAGGTAGCCACCGACGCCCGGCCGCCACCCCCACTCCCAGCTTCCTCTCCACTGCCACCTCAATCTCTACCACCTCCTTCCTCTGCACTGACACCGCACTTTCCACCTCCACCGCCACCTCCTACCCTCACCTTTCTCTTCACTGCCATCTCTAACTCCATCTCCTTTCTCTACATCAACACCTCTCTCTCCGCCTCTGCACAGCCTCCACTTCCATCTTCCTCTCCACTGCCACCTTAGTCTCCCCCTCCACCTTTCTTTCCAACACCCACTCAATCTCTACCTCCACACCACCTACAACGCCGCCTCCTCCATCCTCTACACCGACACCTCACATTCCACCTCCATCTTCCTTTCCAGTGCCACCTCCCCCTCCTCCTTCCTCTACACTGACACCGAACTATCCACCTCCACCGCCACTTTCCTCTCCACTGCCATCTCTGTCTCCAACTCCTCCTTTCTCTACACCAACACCCCTCTTTTCGCCTCTGCACAGCCTCCACCTCCATCTTCCTCTACACAGCCACCTTAGTCTCCCCCTCCACCTTCCTTTCCAACACTCACTCAGTCTCTACCTCCACACCACCTACAACCGCCTCCTCTATTCCCTACACCGACACCTCACTTTCCACCTCCACCGCCACTTCCTCTCTACTGTCATCTCAGTCTCCACTTCTTCTTCCTATATATCAACTCCTCACTTTCCACCTCCAGAGAACCTCCACCTCCATCATCCTCTCCACTGCCACCTCAGTCTCTACCACCTCCTTCCTCTACACTGACACCGCACTTCCCACCTCCACCGCCACCTCCACCCTCACCTTTCTCTCCATTGCCATCTCTGACTTCATCTTCTCCTTTGTTTACATCAACTCCTCTCTTTCCACCTCTACACAACCTCCACATCTATCTTCCTCTCCACTTCCGCCTTAGTCTCCCCCTCCTCCTTCCTCTTCACTAACACCGCACTTTCCACCTCCATCGCCACCTTCACCCCTCACCTTCCTCTCCTCTGCCATCTCTAACTCCATCTCCTTTCTCTACACCAACACCTCTCTTTCCATCTCGACGCAAACTCTACCTCCACCATGCTCTCCACCGTCGCCTCAGTCTCCACCTCCACCTCGAACTTCCTTTGCATTGCCAATTGCCACCTCAGTCACCACCTACACACCACCTACACACCACCTCCACATCCACATTTTTCTCCACTGCCACCTCAGTCTCTATCGCCACCTCCTCCTCCTACCTCAGTCTACACCTCCACATCACCTGCACCTCCATTTTCCTCTCCACTGCCATTTCAGTCTCCATCTGCGCTCCCGCCGGGATGGCTGAGTGGCAGCATTCCTTTTGCCTCTGACGCACAGCTGTCAGCATTCATTGATTGGTGATTCTGGGTGTCAACTCCTAGGGTCTTTACTTCCGTAAGGGTAGTGCGTGTTTTTATTGAGAGAGGTGACGGTGATCTTTCTCCGCTGCATGGAGAGATCCGGCGCCAACCTTCCGTACAAGGTATTCCCACCAGCAGGCATCGCCACGGCCGGGGTTCGCCCCGATTGGTGGCCGGGCATGTGTGTTAGTGTAGTACGTGTTAGTGTAAGTGGTCCATGGTCCGTTTGTTACGGTACTACTCAGACATTCGCCTGGTGTTAATCGAAGAAACCACGGAAAACTACCGATCAGAGCATCTGGCCGCTAGAATACTCCTCCAGACGGAATTTGACCTTGCTATGTATCTAGTGTAAAAAATCTTGCCACAGTCGGAAATGGAACCCTAGAACCTTCCGGTCAGTGGAGTGACATCCATTGATTCCCTGAGCCAAATAAGCCGGTCGCTCACCAGGAAGATCTAAGGATTCGAGCGGATTTTCGACATAGGCTTCTCATCTAGATCGAAATCAGCCGCTGCGCTGTCTGGAGAAGAATTCTAGCTGCCGGCTACTGAGACCCTTCCTTGCTCGTCCTTGTCCCTCCCCTCTCCTCACACAAATTTAGTTGTATGTACATTCATTACACTATATTGCGGTTTTTATATAGCTGTCTCTCAAGGCCCGTCTTGACGACGTAATACGCCACGATATTTTGTATCTCTCTCTGTCGTGCCGCCAGATGCCGCATGAACGCAAGCACTGCTTGATGCGGTCGCGATCATGCGGCATCTGGCGACATGACTGAAAAAGAGTGAAATGTCGTGACTTATTCCAGCTATATAAAAATCGTACTATACTACAGATGTCGGAAGAGCACTAAGGGGATTAGAGTAAGTCGAGGTTGGGAAAAGGCTCCATTGGGGGAGGTTCGTGCAGCAGGAAATTCCGCAAGCTGATTTGTAGGGCGACGAACGATTCCCGAGTCATGGCATGCACCACACTTACGCGACTAATGATTTCAGATATTGTCGCGCTCGGAAATTCAAAATAATCAATGATCTCTACTTCCACTTACGTCTCTCTCCATGTTCACCTCCTTCTACACATTCGCCGTCACCTCGATTTCCACATTTGCCTTCACTGCCGCCTCCACCTTCACTTCCGTCTCTACATTTGTCTTCATCTCTACCTCTTCCTTTATCTGCACCTTCGCCCCCATTTCACCTTTCCCTCTATCTGCACCTTCACCATATGCATATATAGTTTCATTTCCATCACCATTTTCAATTACATCTCCAACTATCTTCCCTCCTGCCCCCTCATTTCCTATCTACACATCCCTCTCCAATGCCACCTGTAGTTTCATTTCCATCACCATTTTCAATTACATCTCCAACTATCTTCCCTCCTGCCCCCTTATTTCCTATCTACACATCCCTCTCCAATGCCACCTCCATCTTCACCTCCACGTTAACGCCACCCCCACTTTTATCTCTGCCTAGGGGGAGAGATGGCTAGAAGCATCAACTAATGCCACTGCAGTTCCTCTGACCGGGAGATACTAGGTTCGAATCCCGTCGATTGAAGGATTTCGACCTTAACTTGTCAGCTGGGTCGAATCCAGTCGCTGTCTGGAGGAGAAGTTTAGCGACTCAGTGCTCTGATTGGTAGTTTTATGAAATTTCTCTGACCAACACCAAGTGAATGCCGGAACAGCACCCTACCAAATACTACATACTCCCCTTACACACTCACACTAACACGCACTACACTACCACACGTGCCAGAAACCCGGTCGGGAGCTTAGAGCTTGTCCCGGCTGGAGCGGTGCCCCGCTGGTGGGAGACGCCTGACTGGGGAAAATCCATCTAGCCGACGGTAGGTCCGCGCCGGATCTCGCCATACAGCGAGGGAAAAATCACTGCCACCGTCCAAGCAAAAAAAATGAACTACACGTAGGGAATAAATGACACTTTTAGTTGTCATGCTGGGATTCACTAAAACAATCAATATCTCCGCCTCCACGTTCGTCTCCACCTGCACTACCTCACTTTCCCCCTCCACTTCTGTCGCCCCCTCTCCCGCCACCACCGCCTCCATTTCATCGCGACGCCTCATGCGGACTCCACCTGTGGGCGATCGACTCACCCGGCGCACCCGCGAGAAGCTTTGCTCTCCCTGAGGCCCAGACCTGTTGGGTGCACGCACACATTGTGCAATTTCTTGGGGCTTCCCTTAAGTGGCCTTAACACCTCAAGCCATTCCCTCACGTGATTCCGCCTTGGCCATATGTGTTTTTTCTTATAACCACTGGACCAGGATAAATGACTCAGGGCATCAATAGATGTCATTGCAGTCCTCCTGATATGAAGGTCCCAGGTTTGAGTTTCGACGGTGCCAGGATTTTCGACACTAGCTTGTCAGCTAGCAGTCGCTGTCTCGAGGTGAAATTTAGCGGCCGACTGCTCTGATCGGTAGTTTTCCGTGGTTTCTTCGATCAACACCAGGCGAGTACCGGAGCAGTACCCTAACAACCGGGCTACAGGCCGCGCGCGATCTTTCCTACCTCTTCCTTGATCTACCATCTCCCCTTATACACACAATTGTTCTAACCCGCACTACACAAGCATACAGGACGTGAGAGCGGTCGGGAGCTTTGAGCCGGCTGGGGTAGGTCTCCGTTGGTAGGAGAAACTTGATTGGGGAAACCCTGCTAGCTGACGGTAGGTCGGCGCCGGATCTCGTCATACAGCGAAGGAAAGATCACCGCCACCTCTGGATCAAATCATGCATTACACTTACGGGAATACTGACCCTGGATTGATGTGACTTCAGTTATAACCACCGGTTAACATTAGCAAAGGAAAATATTCTCCACATCACTTTTCAGGTGAGACAAGTTTTCTTGTGTGAGTTTTCACTTTTGTACATGCATTACAATCTTACATTTTATTTACGTCTAATTTGATTCTCAGACTAAACTATTTTGACCAACTTAATTAAACAAACTTACTTTTTACCCTACATTTTGGAAATACGCTCGTCTCATAGTACGTAAATAATTGCATTATGGGATTTATTCACATTGATTATTTGAAATGTAACTTTACAAAATTGATATTAGTTTCGTAATGAAAGTTATTGAAATACAAGCAATATAAGAATTCGTTGCATACTAATGAGTCAAAATCCTTTAAACAAAAATTACATCGCATTGGAATTTTTACAAATATGATACGCCATTGAATGATATTCCAAGCGTATGATTCTATTAAAATACTCGATTGGTTATTAAACTTTGCCTAACAATGATTAACGGGATTGTTCGAAAATTCTACTATTCTACTAATTCTACTAATTCTGCTACTTGATTTTGTAGAAAGAATGAAATATGTGGGTACGTTCAAATGTTTCTCTACTTCTTTTTCGGTTAACATAGCAATTTCTTCTCTCGCATATAGAACCAATTTTACTAATAATTTACGACGTTCAGACTTGGAAGAAACTCTACACGACCTTGAAAATTCATCTTCATTTCCAGATTTTATTTGTCAGAACTGTACTTCATAAACAACGAAGATTTACCCTTTGCCATGGCACAGAAATGCAAACCTCAGTAAATTTTGAACTTTTGATAGACGAGTTTAACGCACAGGTAAGATAACTCACTGGGTATGTTCGTATTAGCTATGATCTATACCAGGGCTGCCACTTATTCACTTCACTACATTTCTTTTAAATTTAGGTTTCGTTCTGATCAGCTTATTTACTTTCAAATATAGTGAAAAAATAAAAAAAAGATGTTAGTAATGTATCTTGCTGAAGAGGAATTTATGGTGTAAGGATAAGAAGGTAAGTAATTGTGTAATGGTTATGATCCACTACTCTAATAAATTCATGTAATTAGATTATATTTGCTGAAGAAATCAGTTCTCATGGAAATATATTCGAGTGCATCATTAGTCCTCATTAGTTCGTCATTATAAAGTGTCCAATAACACGCACGCACACACGCACACACACACACACACACACACACACACACACAATAATTTGCTGTCCAAAACGAGGTAATCGGCTTGAAGCAAACTCTTGCTCCTATCCTCTTTTCGTTTTTGCACAAATAACGTATTAATGAATGTGAAGTCGCAAGATGGTTTACATCGGCCTTAATGATGATTGGCACAGATGTACACAACCATATCATGTATAGAAATTTGGGAAATCCAATTAAAGGAGATTAAACTATCGATACATATATTTAATGCAAACGTTGTTTTTTTATTTGTTTGCTTGAAAGATTGAATATTCCAAGTCGTATAAAATAATTTTAAAAAGTTATTTTAAATAAGCCTCAAAGATTTTTGTAATGTGGAAATTTTATTTCATGGTAATTTTGCAAGAACTAATTTGAAACTCCTATAACGCGAAGTATAGGAGTATAGTCTTCCCCTATAATAAAACAATAAATATATATGTACGTAATCCCAATGTGTCTAAATAATTAATGATAAATGAAGCTTGTAAATTAATTAATAATGCTATCATCATATATTTATCTTCTTTCAGTCGGAAAGAGAAACGCAATTTGACATAGAATACCTCGCCCCAACACGGCGTCCTTGATATCATGTCACCACTGTTTTGCAGAATATTTTAAAATCGAGTTCATAAAAATCGTCGACACTGAATGTTTCAGTTCGCGAAAATAGCAGAAATGCAGCGCTGAGCAATATTTCGCGGGTAATAAACCAGACCCAAGACCGCCATTTGCGTAATAAAGGGTTAGACACGAGACAGATTAATGAATGAGCACGTGGTGTGGCATGTGAGTCAGTATTTTTTTAGCTCGTTCATATCTCTCGGACGTATCTCGGCGATTTGAATTTCTATTAGGTTTGTTTTAACACCTTCATTCCTACGCGCCCGGCCAACTGACGTAGAGCAGCGCGCCCTCTTCAGGCGATTGTTTACAGAAAGTAAATTACGATGGCGGGCGGGGGGAGGGGGAAACTGGTGGGCGGTGGAGGAAGGTTATCCAGGAGGGGGACAGCGAGTAAATGGAGTTGAGCCAGGGTGGTGGTGATGTCGGTAACAATGTTGTGCCACGTGGATGTTCCTATAAAACAGTCTTCGTTTGTTGGAAACAAATAAGTAGGCTTTTTTGAACCTCTTATAATGTTCTTTATATAGAAATATTTTTTCCTTCTTTTTTAGTAATATACCATCGGGTGTTAAACCCTATGTAGGTCATATATATCTACTTGTTTATTTTGAAATGTACCAGGGTGATTAAAAGCATTTTAACAATATCAGTTTTTCTAATTATATATTTCAAGAACAAATATAAAAAGTATGTTTTTTTGGCAAAATCTCGTTGCTTTTCTAGTACCTATGCTTCAATGTTTTAAATTCACGACCCCCAAAAAGTTTTTTGATTACAAAACAAACAACGTCTTGAAACATGAGAGTTCAAAGGAAATCTGAACGCTATGGGGGATGTTTTAGTATCTAAAGTGCTAATTTTGGAATTATTTCAATAATTGGAGCTGCGATGTGGAAAACCACATTTGTTGTGAAGGAAAAGAATGCCCATTAATAAAAATCCTTAGCGACCAGCATCAAATTGCTTGTTTAGCTTCTTCAACATTACCCTGCAGGGGCCACTATTCTTTGATTCGCTCCTTTCCTAAGTTTAATGAAAATAAGGCCTGCGTCATTTTTAGCTCTATTAAGGAATACATTTAAGAAGAAATTAAAGCTGGTTTGGAGAAATTTCTTTTTAATTGCCTTTACTTCAAGGAACAATTACGCAGAAACTACTAGTTTCTTCAACAATCGTACATTGTACTTTTTCAAAAATATAATTTTGAGGAAATATCTCTATTATCAACATTGTGCTTTTACATGTCAATTTTGTTTACGTTGGGTTCGTCGTCGACCCACCAATTGGTATGCGATTGATAAAAGTACGAATGAATAATCGTGTCAACTTGTATATTGGACATTGAGAGGGTTGACACAGAAGTATACATTAAAATGGAACATTATTTTAAATTTTTGATCGCCCAAGCATTCGTAAATTCTTTTATCAATTTCAGTAGCGCACCATCTATTTATTTCTAGTGACAAATTATTGATCACCAAAACTGTTTCTTTCGTTTCAAGTCTGGGTTTATAGTCTTCTATCTGATGACGTGACAATGGCCAGCGGATGTTGTATACACGTACATCCTCTTATTGGATTACTTATCAACAAACCTCAACTTATTCCACGATTATGGATTAAAAATGAGCTTATTCAGGTGCCGTCCGCTACAGTAGGAACCGCTTTTGATAGATTTGGAAAAGATCTTGAATAAGGCATGATTATTTTTACTTTATTAAAGAAGATTAGAAGGCAAGGCAAAACTAAATGTATACCGCGATAACGTGTTATAACCAGCAGAACAGAGAATATCAAAAACCTAGCGCATAGGAGAGGAATAAGGTTTGTGGCTTTATGTCTCCCTACTTTCTCGGCCAGTGATCACAGTGATGGTTGGTCATTTCAATACTGGATGGGAGATGTAAAGGTGACCATGAGAGGTGAATGATGGCAAGACAGTAATGGTTTTAGATAATGTTATGACTCAGATGGTATTATTAGTAGTATCATGAGACAACCACGATTTAACCTCGTGGTGAATACTCCTACATCTTACTCGGGACTCGTATTTTTCTAGAATTGTGTTCCAAGCTCTTTGTAACTGACGCCCAAATACGTATCTCATATAACAAAATAAATAATTACGAGTTGGCGATCGGCAGCTCATTTTGGTAATTTTTCGTAGCGTCTATTAATTTCAGAAAGACGTTCTCTAACAAACAGGCGATGGGGCCCTCAATTCTTCCTTGTTAACCCTCTTCCATTCTCTCCTTGCATCCACACTTATACACTTTTTTGCAGTACACTACGACATCAGTCGACAGTTTGGAGCTTGTCCCGCCTGGGGCGTGCCCCGCTGGGAGAGATACCTGAAAGAGAAAACCTCGTAAGGCTGCGTGTAAGTGGGCGCTGTATATCATAATCCAGAGGGAAGGATCACCGTCACCTCCCGGGATGAAACATGCATATAAGTTACGAAACTAATTAACATTTAAATTTGAGGCGCCCGTATACAGAAAATAATCAATCAATAGTATTGAAGACGATGGCGTTAAGTAGTGATGAAATTGCAAACTTTCTTCAACAACTTGGCTTGTGAGAAATCACGCAATAGAAAATTTTGCCGGGATTTTCCACTCATCGAAATTATTGATGGATTGGTTCGTTAATGATTCCAGTAAGTGTAGTGCATTTTCAAGCGCAGGAGATGGGGATGATCATCTGTGGATGGCAAGATTCAGTGCCGGTATACCCGTTGCCCTTCGGGTTTTCCTCAACCAGGTATCTCCCACCAGCGGGGCACTGCCCCAGTCGGATCAAGCCCTAAGCTCCCGACCGGTCTCCCGGCGTGTGTGGTAGTGTCCCTGCATGTTAGTGTATGTGTAAGATGAAGATAGGACAAGGAAGAGGGAGGAAACATCGCTCGCGGTCCGTGGCCCGTTTGTTAGGGTACTACTCCGGCATTCGCCCGGTGTTGATCGGAGAAACCACGAAAAACTACACATCAGAGCTGACCGTCGCTAGAATTCTCCCTCAGACAACGTTTGAATTCGACCTACCTATGTAGCTAATGTCGAAAAATTCTGCCACAATCGGGGATGAAATCAATCAAATTGAGAAATTGGCATCAATTGGTAATGGAATTTTAACAAAACACACAAAAAACGTCTCATGAGAAATCGTTCATTAGATAATGTTCGGGCTTTATGCCCTCACCTAAAATATCACGACGAGATGTTGCCTCACGGAGACGGCTCGAGTGCGCCGCGACGTCGTTGGGGAGGGGGAGGGAGGTGCGGAGAGGCCGGAGGGCCGTGGGCGCGCGCCTCTCCCGCCGCAGATCACGATTACGCGGAATGAGCGTCGCGAGTCGCCCCGCCCCGCCCTGCCCGGGCCACGCCCCGCCCGGGAATTCTGCGAACAGCCGCGGCCGCGACCGCAGCCAGGCACCGCGTGCGCACCGGCGCGAGCGCCGACGTCCCGAACGCGCCCCGTAATCGGTATTCTCAGGCACTGCGTCAGTTCACTGAACGGGAGCTGTCGTCACTAGAGACCGGAATAATTCGTGGTATGAAACGTCAAAATATGTCATGAAACGGCGAGAACAAGTAATAAATATGTCAAATGGGATATAATATGTAATAAAATAATGAAACAATTATGAGTCGTCATTGCCAACAATATTGTTTATTACAATAGCAGCTTTCGATGGTTTAGCCATCATCATCCGTTTTCTGCTGTCCGTAGTCGTTTTTGTGGCTTTCATACAGCAGAAAACTGATGATGGCTAATCCATCGAAAGCTGCTATTGTAATACTACCCGGTAGTCGTTTTTGTGGCTTCCATACAGCAGAAAACTGATGATGATGGCTAAGCCATCGAAAGCTGCTATTGTAATACTACCTGGTAGTCGTTTTTGTGGCTTCCATACAGCAGAAAACTGAGGATGGCTAAGCTATAGAAAGCTGCTATTGTAATAAACAGTATTGTTGGCATTGACGACTCAT